TTGGCCAAGGAAAGTTGGCAGGGGCTCCCTTCAGGGAACTTAGGAATGCTGGGACGCCTGCCGCCATTGTAGCCCCTGGGCGGCTGGGGCCCCTGAAAGAGCCGCGCATTCCCAGCCCTTCCCCTCCAGAGAAAGGAAGGAACTGGGAGGGAGGAGCCCTTATTGGCAATGGTTCTTCCCCTTCTTAGTTTTGATACGCCATTGGAGGGGTCCATGAAAGTAATGCACCTCCCCCTCCCTCCCCCCCGCCGCCCCAGGAAACAGTCCATAGAACCTCAAGAGTTTCATGAACACCTCAAAGCTACCCTGAACTAAAGGACCCCACTCAGGCACCAGGAGAGGACTTGAAACAACCTCAGATACTCCAAACAGAAGGACATTTAGTTGGCAGGATCCTTTGTTAGAATTCGAGTAAAAGATGGACCAGAAAAGAAGCTATGAGGCAAATGGGCCAGTTCTCCAAAGGGCTTATCTAGTAGGAAAGGAATCCAGCCCCACTCTTCATTTGATGTATATAACCTTGAGCAAATCACAATTTTTCTGAGCCTCAGTTTCCTCATCTGTAAAACAGGTATAATAATAATGCTTCATAAGGTAGTATCTGTGAGAATTAAACAATAATTACATGTACACAAAGTTTATCAAGTTTGGGGCCCCTGGGTGGTTCAGTCGGTTAAGTGCCTAGCTCTTGATTTCAGCTCGGATCACAATCTCTGGGTTCATTGGTTTGAGCCCCACATCGGGCTCTGTGCTCAGTGGGAGCTGCTTGGCATTCTCTCTCTCTCCCTTTCTCTCTCTGCCCTTCCTTGTGCTCTCCCCCTCTCAAATAAATGAATGGGGAAAAAAATTTATCAGGTTCTACACTTCAGATTTTTGCATTTTATTTACTTACATTCCACTTTAATAAAAAGAGGGAGAATGACAAGATATGAAACATGAGGGGCGCCTGGGTGGCTCAGTCAGTTAAGCGTCTGACTTTGGCTCAGGTCATGGGATCTCACAGCCCATGGATTCGAGCCCCACGTCGGGCTCTGTGCTGACAGCTCAGAGTCTGGAGCCTGCTTCAGATTCTGTCTCCCTCTCTCTCTCTGACCCTCCCCCATGTCTCTCTCTCTGTCTCTTGAAAAATGAATAAACATTTTAAAAAAAGAAAATGCAAAAAGAAACACGAGACATCCCTAGCAGTGTATGCCTGTCACAAAGCTGATAACAAATGTTACCCTGAGTACATGCTGTTCCTTCCAACAGGACCTTCCTGGCTTCACCTGCTTCACAGAAGAATGTCACTTCCTCAAAGCCTTTCCCAAGCGACCCTCCCACAAACTAGGTCAGAACCACGTTATATGCTCTATAGTTGTCCTTCAATGAATTTGTCTCAGTTTTTTTTTTTAATTTTATTATTTATTTTGGGGAGAGAGAGAGAACATGAATGAGAGCATAAGCAGGGAAGGAGCAGAGAAAGGGGGAAAGAGAATCCCAAGCAGGCTCAATGACAGGGCAGAGCCTGATGCAGAGCTCCATCTCATGAACTGTGGGACCACGATCTGAGCCGAAATCAAGAATCAGATGCTTAACTAACAGAGCCACCCAGGTGCCCATCAGTTGTTGTTTTTTTGTTTGTTTGTTTTAAGATTTATTTTGGGGGCACCTGGGTGGCTCAGTCAGCTGAGCATTAAAAAAAATGATAGTGATTCTCTTTCCCTCTCTATCTGCTCCTCTCTCTCTAAAATAAAAAAAAATTAATTTTAAAAATATTTTATTTTTAAGTAATCTCTACACTCAAAGTGGGGCTCGAACTTACCACCCAAGACCAAGTTTGCATGCTCTCCTGACTGAGCCAGCCAGGTGCCCCTGCCTCAGTTTATTTTTATAGATTTATTAGGGTGATGATCTGTTTCCTGTCTGTCTCCTCCGCTGGATTATAAACTCCTGGAGGACAAAGATCAGGGCTCTCAGCTGACTCCAGCAGCCCCAGGGCCAGGCGACATAATACATGTCAATAAATATTTGTTAAAGGTCGGATCCTGAACCAAAGCAGACTCTCCCAGCAGTAGGGAGATCTGCCCAATGATCCCTCACTGCCGTTTCTCGTTGGAGAGCTGTCCCTGGCCCGGACCTCCTCCCCCCGTTCAACTGTAATTTTGGAACCAGATGTGCCTAGACTGCGGGCTCTCAGAAGTCACATGATTTATTCATAACGCTGCTCTGCTCTGTCAGGACATCTACGGATCTTCCAGATCAAGGAGCTCCGGACTCCCAGCAGTGTGCACAGCCCCTCACCCACACGAGAGCACTGAACATGCCCCTGGTCCCGGTGACTCTTTAACCTCAACCACTGTTAGACCCAGGACAGGTGGGTCAGGGGCCAGCAGGGCTGAAGTGATCTTTGGGATGGGTCAAAAAGCAGGGCTCTAAATGATTCAACGTGGAAAACCCGAAACCTATCTGCCTTCAGTTACAGAGGACAGCAGGGCGTGGCCGGGGCAGCCAGGCAGCGCCAGGTCTTAGGAAACCCCAGGGGCAGGTAAACAGCCAGCTAGTGCCAAGCAACATGGAGTAGAGAGCCGTCCTTCTCACTGCCTGCCCCTGTTTTTCCCTCCTCTGGCATGTACCCAGGCCACTCCTCACCAAATGTACTCTGGGAAGAGCCCAGGCCACGAGTTAAGTCAGTTTCATCTGTCTGCCTCTGCCTTTCCTGCCCCAAAGGAGAGGGAGGATACTCTGCACCTGTACCTGACAGCCACTTCTCCCCGAGTTACTCATTAGCCCGCTCTGCCCCAAATCCGTCACCTCTGGCCCAGCCATAAGCATCTGGCTTCCAACTAGGAGTGACAGTCTCTCGACTTCTGGCAAGAAGCGGGGGTGGGGAGGTCTGGGGTGTGCAGAGAAAGAACTGATACAAGCCATATGCTAGATGCTCTGTAACTGGCAGATTTAGACAATGGAGAAAGGTAGAGAGATTAGACTCTCCTCAGAGATAAAGGGAAGCAAATGGCCAAAACAGAACAGGACAGCTCAGTGACCTTGATCAATCGGCTATTTTCTCAGAAGGAGTTACAAAGACAAGAAGGTTCCCTGTGGATCAAAAAGAACCACCTCAAGTGGACTCCTGGCTCAGTCCACTGAAAAAAAAGAAACCTGAGAGCCAGGCTAGAGCAGCTTGGCCAGTAGAGGAAAACACAATGACGAACTGGGCCCTGCAAACTGGCTGGACTGGTTTGAGAGGCAAGGGGAAGGGGAGGGCCAGGAAGGCTCCACTGGCAGCTCGTAAAGCAGACCAGAGAAACTCCACGCCACAGAGGACAAGGGGCAAAACCATGGGCAGGGACTGTCCAGCCTAGATGCCAAGGCCAAGGCTGTAAAGGAGGAGGCATAAGGTAGAGAGAGAACAGGAAGGAGTAGAGGCACAAAGAATCTGGTGAGTGACAGACCGGTGCATGATAGGAAGACTCTCTGTCCCATACCCCTCCCTCTCAAGTTCCCAAAGTTGCATTCCTGATCCCACATTCGCCCTGGCCAACTCCCTGGCCCTTAGTTCTCCCCTCCCCTGCATGTAAAGCAGCAGCCCTCCCCTCCCCTGGCCTCCTACCAGGCTGATGGCATGCAGGTCGGCCTAAGGAAAGAAGACAGGGTTCTAGGAAGCCAGAATCCTCGTAGGACCAGGCAAATCTCTGGATTAGCAGTCCCCTAGAACCAGACCCCCACTCCCAAATATCCAGGATGAAAGAAGAGGTGCAAAGGCGCGCGTGCAGGCAGCCTGTGGACAACATAGTTGCTAATTATTTCCCAATTACATCTTTCCTCGGGCAGGGCATCAAAGGGGCCAACCTAAGATTGGCTCTGGCTCCTTTACCTGCCCAAGGCAAGGAAATCTGCCTCAGAAGTCTCATCTGGGCCCCAGGGTGCAGCTCTCATCCAGCCTGGAGACCCAGAGGTGCTAACTCCCCTAGTCTTGCGGTTTCCTAAGGAGTCCTGCCTAAGACCCACACGCAGGTGCCTACTGCCAGTGTGACAGCCATCACGGTCAGGGACGCTCAGTGGGGTTTCGAAGAGTAACGGGCCTCTTCTAGGAGGCATCAGGGAAAATGGTGAGGCTCCCAAACCTCACCCAACGGCCTCATCTAGAACCCAGAAGAAAGTATGTGTGCTTGGGGGGAGGGTTTGACATTAGCCCCCCGAAAGAGTTAGAAAGTATTTCTACAAACGTTGTAGGCCTAGGGATCCAGGCTTCCGCATAACCCTCCTCCGAGAGCAAGCACTCTCTCAAGAAGACAAAATTCTCCCAGGCACGAAAGCGAAGCGGGATGGAAACGGACAAGCTTCGTTTCACACCTAGCAGAGATGGGGGTGCCTTCTTGTTCCCCCACTCAGCGTGTTCACACCTGTAGGTGAGTGGTCACAGCGAGACGACTGAGAGGGCGGTCCGGGGGAAGGAGCACCTCCGGACACCTTCCCCCTAACGACTCCGAGCCGGTCCCCTTCCCACCAGAGACGACAAGCTCCTTCCCCCCGAGTACCAAGGGCTCCGAGAAAGTCTGCCCCCAGGTCAGCAGCTGACCTCCAGAGAGAACCAGGCCCTGCAACTCTCTCCTGTCCCGGGAGCAGGCTTGGACTCAGCTGCCCCTCACCTGGCGCAGGCCGAGGCAGCTGCCCCTGGTACTTTCGAGCTCTGGTGCCTCTCCCCTGGCACAGTCCGAGGAATCTGCCCCTGGTACCTTCGAGCTCAGGTGCTCCTCCCCTGGCGCAGTCTGAGGCACCTGCCCCTGGTACCTTCGAGTTCAGGTGCCCCTCCCCTGGCACAGTCCCAGGCAGCTGCCCCTGGTATCTTCGGGCCGCAGCCAGCTCGTCATCAGTACCCCCACCCCGGCTTCACGTTCCCTCCTCCTCTCTCCTTTCTGCACCAGTACCCTGGGAGAGGGGCTCTCAGGTCGCCTCGCGCCCCGCCCCTCGCCCCCCAGGGGCGCACCTGAAGGCCCGCTGGCCCCTTGGCGTCCACTCACCGCAGCCGGGCTCGGCGCTCCCGGGCTCGAGCTCGGGCTCGCGCTCCGGCAGAGCTGCACGCGCGGCTCGCGGGCCCTCCCCCTGCGGCCCCGTGCGCTCCCTCCGTCCCCCTCCCGGCACCGCGCGCCGCCAACCTGTTACTCCCCTCCGGAGCTCCACCCCCATTGGCCGTCACCACCCGCCCCGCCCTCCCCTTCCCCTGGTTGGTCCTTTTCCCGAGGGGGCGGGGCTGTCCGCCCTAGGGACGGGGGCCGGGGGTCGCGGGCCGCGGTGGGCGCGCCGGGTCACGTGGGCTGGCGGGCCGCAGGAGGCCATGTTGGGGGCTCCGCCCTGCCCGGGTAGCCACGCACGGCAGCATCTTGTGGCCTCGGCAGCCCCCCGCCCTGTTCCGCGGGGGTCGCCGTCTACACCGCCTTCTGCCCTCACCGGTCTCCGCAGAGACCGCGTTGCTCTGCTGTGCCTTTGCCGAGGGTGCCTCCCCGCGCCTGCGGCGCCGGCGCTCCGCGGCGTGGGCTCGGGTCGCATCTGCCGGGCCTGAGCCGCTGCGCTCCTCCCCACCCCCCCACCCCCGGCCTCCACAGGTCATTGTCCAGCCTGGCACCTTCCTCTCCGCAGTATTTTATCATCTTCCAAATTACGTAATTTAATTTTTAAATCGTATTCGTCGTTCATCTCTCGTGCTGCCGTAAGCCCCACGGGGCGGGGGGGGGGGGGGGGGCCGCTGGTTTTGTTCGCTGCCACCGCAGATGCCTGCAACAGAGACCGGCACACAGTAGGCGCTTAATCGGTGGAATGAATGGGAACTGGGTAAGCTTAAATATAAGCTTACATTGAGGGGGGATGTAAGTTTACAATGAATAGGAACGACCCTGCAAACAAAAGGGGACTCGGCCCCAGATTGCGGATCCACTTTAGAGCCGAGCTTTCCCAAGAGATGGAGGAATTGATCCCAGAGCCCAGAAG